TGCAAAAAGTAATTTGTAATCGAGTCAACTATTACATTGCAATCATCGGATTATATTTTGCCTAATATTCTTTGACTGATACTAAATGACGAAAAAAGTCTTAAATCCATTGAAAAATTAATATTTTTGAAGTAATAAGTTTCCGTTCCGCTTAAAGCAAATGATTTTAATGATATCATATCTAATTCTTTTGGTTACAATTCTTGATAATATTATACAATACTATAATTATAATATGATACGTATTATATTATAATAAAATGATATTATACTAATAGTACATAACATTATAAACAAAAGAATTCATTATTATAATATGGAAAAATAATTTCCTGCTTCCATACAACTCCCAAAACGAGAAAATCGATTGGTTCCATCGAAACAAAAGGTTTTTTACAACTTTAAAAACACCAATTTCTCTACTGGCACTCTTTTCATCGTTTAACGAATGCTACGAATCCTACAGATCATAAACCCTTTTCATATTCACCCTATAGAATACATAGAGGGCTCGAAAACAAAGAGATTCGGAATGAAAATTGAAAAACCAAAACAAGTCAAAGAGAGCGTCCGGGCATCCTCTTTCGGTTTCACACATCCAAATAATTCGCGTGCAATTTGCAGCAGTGATAATCGGCGCGAGCTCGGAACACATCACAACGCAACCCACACACAGGCACACTCACGGGTACACCATACGCACAGTTCCCATTCGTTCTCGTTAGCAAACACGCGAGAGACAGGGGACAAGATTCGTGTCGTGCAATTCACACACCCGCACAGGTAGTTTTTGGTCAGCCTTTTCTGTACTGTGTCACACCGTAACACTGGTGTGTTAGTTCCGGGGCCGTGCCCGGCCCCATTGTCGCTCTCACAACGAACTGTTCGAGTACGTATCTCTCTACGCTGGTTTTTAACACTAGGCAGCCTAAAAAAATCTCTAGGCAGCGCGGCCCGCTCGACACGACTCGTTTCGTGCTCGAGCCGGCGCCAGGTAATTCGCGTACACAGCGAGCGTCTCGATCGAGATATCCCGGCTGTCGCGGACGCTTCTCGTCAAGGTGCTATTTGTTTGATCGCGCACTATGCTCCGTTTGCCGAAACGGGTGCCCGATTTGATCGATTGCGTTGGGCTTTTGTGGTTAATCTGCGTCGTATCACGATCAATCTAAATTACTATTACTTCTTTTGATATTTTTGTACTACTTAATTGTTTAGTTATCATATATTTTAACAGTAGTCGGTTAAAGTAGTAGTTAGTTAAAGTTTAGATAACGTAACGTCCCTTAACAGTAAGAAGGAGTGAGACAATAACGAAACATAAGTTCGAAATATTTTAGCAAAGGAAGTTTGGTTAGGGTACACGTGATCTCAGGTGTGATCGTTTGAACTACTGAGGCTTCATTGTATAATTTCTAGTTGATTTTTTATGAAAGCTTGGAGGATTTAGATTGATTGCTATATTATACGGTGTTTGCTTCAATGGATCAATTAAAGGGTATGTGTTTAGTGTTTCGAGAATATCGTCGAGAATCTAGATCGATAAGAATATTATACGCGGATGACTGTTTTTAAACTTCTTCTACAGTTTAACGATGATGATATTTGATCAGAATTGTCGGAAGATTTTGTTGATGAAAATTTTCTGACTACTTTTTTTGTGATATGCGTATATGGTTACATATTTCGATATTGAAATTTACGAAGAAATATATTGAAATGATATTGTCAGATTTTAATGAATTTTCGATAAATACTAATTACAAAAATATTTGAAGCGTGAAAGTAATTCTGAATTTTGAGACGGAAGAAATATGTTTGGCTGGATATTTTGGAAGCTACGAGTGAGGATAATTTGCATGATTACATAATTCTGAAATTATTGACAAACGCAATGTAAATTAGTAAAATATATTGTAATTTTATTAAAATTGAATGTTGACTTTGTCTTGACATGGGACTGGGAGAGTTAATAAATATCTTATAACCACAAATACACTGACCGCGCCATATGTAGCTAATATCCCTTGTACAGGAAGTCAAAGCTGTCTGCGGTCTTATACTTGTGGTTTTTCGACAATTAGAGGACCAGCTTTTGAGGTAAACCTTCATGTAACCACTTAAAATTACGTGATGGTTTGCGACCTGTTTAATCGCACACAGTTAAGAATTTTGTCTTCCACTAAACATGTGGAAAATTCAATTATACTAATTTTTCTTATAATACAAAAATTAAAATTTCAGTTTATACATCCTACTTCTTATTTGAGTGTAAATTTTTCATATAGATGTTCTTATGACAATTGATTAATGTTTAACTGAAAGAATTAATATATTATTTAAACAACTTAAAAAATTGTTTAAAAATCACAATTCTGCAGTGTATAACATTCTCCTAAATTCTATAACTTGCAAGATATTTAATCAAATATATTTTTTATTCTTAACTTTGATGACACTTTTTATAACTTAAATAGGAAGATGGTCGGTAAGAAATCGAATGCCAAATCTTCTTGAAAAGCTATTTTTCATCGAAATTTCATCAAAATCTGCTGATATCACTTGAGTATGTTTTATTACAGGTATAGATCTGTAATAGAATTGCTTATAGACAACCATTTCTCGGCTGTGAAACGTATATTACACTTCTGAATTGCCAGAGTACTTCATTGACAAAACCATTGAATATTTCGTCTTTAATACTTGATATTGAATCTCAACATAGAAACAAAGCTTTTTACATGATATTTTGGAACCATCAGATTTTTGTCACTTTGCCAGGCCAAATCGTAAGTCAAAGAGATTCTTTTCAAACAATAGATGTGAGCTACTTTCCAGAGAAGAATTCTCATTGTCCATACCCCTCAGTGTCTTTCTTACTTTCTAAATTAACTCAAAATGCTGTATAACATCTATCGTTGAATAACAAAATAGAAACGTCAACACAAATGAAATAATACCTCACTACAAAATTCAAATGTAAAAACCACAGTTCCAAAAATTTTTTCCAAACAGCGCTAACCAAAAAAACAAAACCGACGTGTAAAAAAGCAAGGAAGAGATTTGTCATTGAGCAACAGATTTTCTCGTTCCTTCATCCTTTAAGTTTACTTACACATTAAACGTTAAGTTTCGACTTTCATTCGCGCAATCGATCAAAACGCGCGTCCGGTTCTGCGTGTTCACGATGTTACGTATATGTGACAGTCATCGTGAATGGTATATAAAACCCAATAAGAGTGAGCGAGAGCTGGTGAGTGAGCGAGTGAGTGGACGGAGTGAATGAAAGTGATCCACGGCGGTACCGCGGATCGTGTGACTGACTCGTGTGTTGGTGAGCGTGTAAAGTGGCGGGTGATGGACAGACAGACAGACAGATAGATAGCTAGAGAGGAGAAGATAGAAGAAGACAGTGGGAAGAAAAGGTTCCGTGGAGCCGGATAGGGAACGTTAAAGGGAAAAGGTGGCGTTTGGGGGATGAGTCGCGTTGAACTGGGGGCTAGGTTGTGGATGTTAGTTAACGATATTTCGTATGAGCGTGTAAAAGAAGAACATACGAGGTTTCATCGCTTTCGTTTTCTGGTTTTTTGTTTTTTGTACGCTCGTCACGTGTGTACGCGGCGGAGGCGTCTGTTTGAGCTTATCTGAAAAAGGGTTGAAAGTGATGTAGAGTTGAAGCGTGTTTGGTCAACGATTATCGAGCTTTTTGCCTGTAGGATATAGAGACTTTGGGAATTACTCAAATACGAAAGGTGTGGCTATACAATTGCACAACCAAGTAGAAAGCGATTTTTGTTTGGTAAAGTGAATACACTTTTATTAGGTATTGTCGGTGGAATGAAATTTGTATTTGAACGCTATTAAATTGTCAGTGCAGTTGTTTATTTTATAATTATAATTTTAACTTGCTTCGCATTTATGGAATTTTTTAAGATGTCTCTTGTAAACAGAAAAGAAATACAAAATGAGATTTTTTGGTAGAGTTTGTTAATAGATGAAAAATTTCGGTATAACTTTTTCGGTAATAATATTATTAATAAGAGAAATCATTTTTTACTTTCAGTGTGAGAAATTATTCTATATCTGGCTGTACTATCATTGTACATACACTTTGTAAATTGTATTTTTTACTAATTTATTAACTGAATATTTGGATACATTAATGTCAAATTATTCTTTCGTTTAGTACTGTGTCATTGAACATACATTTTATGTAGGAAAAACAAATTTGTAATTTTCATTAATATCATCTTCTTAGTAAGTAGCAAAGTAAATATTGAATTTCAATTTTTTAATTTTTGTAAGAGATAATATATTGGAAGAGTATAATTTTTCTCTTTCTAGAGCACTATTTTTTGTATAAAGAATAATTTAGATAACGCTTAAGATAAAAGTAAGGAGACAACACAATTAAAACCTTTAATATATAGATACATGAAGTAATACGAATTATGAAATTCTCATATATACGTCCGATCGTTAAACAAAGATTTATTAAAAGGTTATATACCACACAATTAAATATATATTTTCAATTAAACAGTCTACAGTATAATTTGAAAAAGAACGTATTTCCAGAGAAAAATATACTTACATTCTGTCGGTGCATCGTACTGGATGAAAAAGACAAAACTGTTAATTTTAATCGTATTCCAAAATATTCGTTTAATAAATCGTAAAAAATAAAATTCTTCTCTATATTTGAGTAACCCTTATTAATTCGAATTATAATATACTATTGTATTATAAATTTCCAATAACGTCTAAAAAATATATTTCCTTGAGAAGAATCGGTATCAGCTGATCATGTCTAGCGACGTTATGAAAATCGACATCGTTGACGCGCGATGAGTAAATCACGAATCGTATGTTTCCATATGTATACGTAAGTATGTGGCGTGTCTGTGTGACGGTGGAACAAAGGCGAGGATGTCGAACTTTCTCAAGATCGTCTCTCTGTTCGTATGTTGCATTTTATACACGCGGACGTGCGTACTTACAGCTCTCGATCTCGATATGGCAGAGCTGTCGGTCCATTGGAAAGTACTGCAGGTTCATTGGACACGATGCTGTGATCGTTAAACTGCAACAAAATGAACAAGAGTAGCTATCAGTGGATCTTGCGTCGTTACAAGTTATACGAGGGTAAACATTTCCTTGTTATCTTATTGTTTCACCGTGGGAAACGTGAAATGATATTCGATCTTGTCTTGCTGGAACTTCCTAACGGATTAATTTCAAGTTCGCTATCGATATTTTATGAGGGCGACGATGAATTGAGTTCCAAAGAAGAAAGCTCCCCTCGTTAACCCTTTCTTAACCTTAAAAAGAAATCTCGCGACTTGATACCAATTATTTAACGTTCTTTCATGTAATATTTCATTACTTAATGAGAGAACTTCAAATCTTTCAATGAAAAACATGTATTTTCCGGCATTTTTTGTAAGAAGTACTATTAATGTCTTTTAGTTCAAATTTTGTATACGCTTTCACTACACTTTCATTAAGTTTTGTAAATTATTTCAGTTCTATTTATTCAGAAATATAGTTTCTATAGCTTATAGATCAAAAGTATTGAACCTATCAATTCATGATTTTAACTGTTCGTTAAGAAAAAATTCTTTTATCTTTTGAGCTACAATTAAAGTACTAGCATATACACTTCCTTTTTAATTAACAGAAACTCGGTAAATTTTTCGAGTGAAATTAAATCTTTCACCTTGAAGAATTGAAGTCGTGAATTTCAAAATACCATAATCCACTTTTTAACGTTATATGTATTAGTTATTGTTGTGACCGTTTTCAGCTTACTTAGACCTATTTAATGATATTAAAATTTTCATGTAATGAAAAGATTCTTGTAACAAAAATAAGAAAAATAGGTAATGAATGAACGAAGTTGAAAAGGAAGATCGATTTTCTCGAAATGTTGATTGGTTGACTTGTGTTGTTATAGACTTCATAGCTTCAATTGTTAAAAAGTATTGACTTTTCAGTTTTTGTTTTACTGAAGAAATTGTTTCGACTGTATGCGATTATGGTGACAACTGATTCGACAGTTATCGCGTTAACACCAGATTTACGGATATTTACCCTACAGTTTGTTCCATTGTCTTTAGAAAAATTGATATACATTTCGATTTTGGAAATTAGAGGTTTAAGAGTAGACCTCAATGATTTACCAAACAATATTTATAAAACACAATATCAGTTAAATGAACCCGCTCCATAATCTAGTGTCAAAGAATTAGATTTCAGGTATGCCACTGATCTTCCATGGCAACGATCAGTTACGCTTTGGGCGAAGAAAACTCTCTTCTTTAAGCGTGTTATTGCTCCGAGCAACGCGGTCGATCGATAGTTTTAACTCAAACGAAGGGAACTTGTTCATGCATGTGCGGGTGCCCGTTCCTATCGATTTCCCTTTAACGTTCTTCGGTTTCCAGCGGAGCATCGGGAATCGGCCTTGAGCCCCCAGATCCGGAAGGGAGCGTAACGCGAAGGAAGGAAAGGGTGTGAGTAAAGTTAGGTATGCATGGATTGTCTGAATATAGTAGCGACGTTAATATCAGAACACTCGAGGATAGGTTGGATGAGGCAGATGTGGAGGAGAGATGATACGAGCGGCAGGGGAAAAGAAAGGGGATGGAAACGGCGTGGACCGATGCCGGGAACAAATTTGTCCAAGTTGGTACAATTGCTCCCTCAAGTGTTTTCGGTTGTTCCTGGCTGGTAGAGACTATCGAACCTCGGCTGAAATCGCGCCAAAAAATGGCCAGTTCTATCCCGCGCCTCGTGATTTTATCTGGGTGTGCTTTGGTTAAAAGTACAAAGTCTTTGTTCAGCTAAAAAATTATTGCCTGTATAATAAAAGTGTCCGATGAATTATACTTTTTGGATTTTTACGTTCAGTAGCAAATTTTGTAAATTCTTGTAGAGTAAATATGAAAGTAAAAAATGCTATTTTAACGTGTTACTCCCTTTTTGTTTCTGAGAAATTTAATTGTGCATTGGCAAGGTTAAATTCTCAAATGAAAAATTCAGAAGTAATTTGATTCTTCTTTAATACTTGTTTACTCTTTTGAATTATTTTAAAAGTATTTATAAATATTTTGAGTACAGGGTAATACATATTTTTATTGATAGCGGAAATTATTTATTACTTTGTTAATAAAACTAAGAAAGTTGTATGATAAACTGATATTAGGAACTTTATATGCATGTACACTGAACATTTATAAATATTACGTTTACATATCTGAAAAAATAACCATGAAGCTAACTTTTATTTAAAAAAGATATTATAGTAAGTAGTATAATAATAAACATTTAGAAAAATTTAATATTTTATGTGTATTATAATAAATTTGCATTTATCTGAGAAAAATATGTTAAACAACACTCATAGTTTCCATTTTGTATGAAACTGTTATTACATGACATATATGGGTATTATATTATCCTATTAATTCTTAAACCCTTTTCCGATGATTTATTTCTCAGCTATGACCAATACAACTACCTTACCATTAATAATTTATTAAGAAACAAAAAATTTTAAGGCTTATTCTATGTCTACGTTTACTCCCGAGGTTAACGATTGATAATGAAAAAGTAATATTTTATTTGTGTTTAAACAACATAAATGACACCCAGATTTTTCAAATTCAGTTTCAAATTTTCGTCACGAGTCTGATACGATATTATAGGTCAAGGGGTTAATGAAATATCTATCACTGAACGTAATATTACATTCATCAGAAGGTTCTGTCGTTATATGATTCACGCCACACTAACAAAATAAAGCATCTTCCATCCCTCTACAAAAATCTTCACAAAAATCCTTTACAAAATGAAACTGTCACAAAAAATAGTATTTCATTAACACTAACCGTACCGAGAACCTATCAAATGATTGAATTTAAAATTATTTTTTCATTCATTTAACTTTATACCACTTCCCATATTTTCCAATTAATAAGTTTTCCAATTTTTGTCTCTCCGTTTGTTTCTGTGTCCATTAAAAAGAATCTATCATCTAACTTGTTTACTTTTATTTCGTAGACAATTAATTGACTGGTTACGCTAGAGAAAGTGTCGGTACGGTTACTGTTAAAAACGAGTCACAAAACAATCTTACTCAAACAAAACCTCAATCAGTCATGTAAGAACCGACAGAATATTCCAACCGATGGATCACGGGCAAGATCATTCGTACTCACCGTATACTACGCGTGATGCTTCCCGAGTGATGAATACGAATGAACTCGTTGCTGGTGGTGGCGATGTGAAAGTACGACTGCTTCTCGTTGACGAAGAAGGTGTCGGGCACCCAGATGTTCTTGATGAACTCCGAGCCGACGCTCAGCGTCTCGACGCCCGTCCGCGGCTTGAACGCGAGCCTCGGGTCCGTCCAGAATTGCCGGAAGTAGAAATCCAGCGTGAAGTCCTGACACGAGACACGAGACACTTTATTAGACTCGGGCATCGACTAAACAAATTTTTCAAGTTACGATTTCCCGCGGGAACAACGTGGAAAAACGTAAAATCGGCTTCGAAATCTCGCGGAATCCTCGTCTCGTTTCCCACGGACGCAATGCTCCGCCGGTAACAATGGTCCCCCGCGGTTCCAGAGGATAATGAAACGCGGACACGGGAGGTAACGTCATTACGCGGGCCAAACGCGTTCGTTAAAAATAACAAAATTTCCTGGCGCCCCACGAGTAAGAAGGCAAACAGCGGCCAATACGTCCGACTGCTTTCATCCTGGTTTATATGGGTAAACAGATTTACGTTGGTGAAATGCCTTGATTTATTCGATACGTCGCGCGGCTGAAACGCGCGGTTTATCCGGTGACGGACGTGCCGCGCTTCGCTTCGATTATTCGCCGAGACTTGGAATAATTAGTTGAACGATATTGTTGTATGTTTCATATTTTATTTGACACGGGGACTGTTAGGTGGAAGTATTAGTAATTTTGAAGGGCCTTTCGATTTAAATTTTTAGTGAATTTCTAAAGGGGTGTTACATAATTAATGTCTTTGGAAAAGTATTTTAGAATTCTAGTTTTTGGACTGACAATTGGATACACTGTTATAGCTAATTTTTATGAGTCAATTATAGTGATATATTTCGCTTATATATTAACCTTCTGTGGACGAGCATTTTTTGAACTTCTAGAAATTCTTTCCATTCAAAAACTGCAAATCCATCGAGCTCTTAAGCACTACAAAAGTAGAAAATCGTGTATCAATCTATGCGTATCATAATCCTAATCGCGAACCTAATTCCTCGTTATTTGAATAATGACATATATTTACAGCTTTCGATTTCAGGTATGAAAGCTCGACATCGCCGTTACGGCGGTATTCGGCCGCAAAGGGTTAAAGTCTGTTAAGTCTACTTACGTTTGAACAAATGAAAACATTTAAACTTGCTTGAAGAGCAAACCTGCAAATATTTCGAAACCAAATAGTGCACTTGCATCTTATTTACGAAAACAGTTTTATTCTCGCCATTATCTCCTTTTAATCCAATTTGAAACAGTCCTCAGTATCACATAAAACTTCATAGAACATTGAAATCACGGTTATCATCATCGAAAATGATCGTTAATTATACTGTGTTCATTATCGAGGAATTACGGCGCTCGGTTACGTTGTTCCTCGTTCTTCCAGCGTGTCTGTTTGTCTCTTTGGACGAGGGTAGGGTATTTGTAAACGCAGGTAAAGGTCAGCATCTTTCCATCGGAACGGAAAGCCTCGCGAGAGATCGTCGTACACGAGATCAAATCGGTTTGGGAGAGTGCGATACGTAAACGGGAGAGGTGGAGGACGTAAGTATGGAGGCGACGCGATCGGATAAGAGACCCGATCCGTAATAGGCGGAGAAACGCGGAGCTGAGATCGTGGACGTCGACCGGAGCCTTTCGAACCCTTGTTGAGCGATACTGTCGCCGTCTCCTATATCGTGGTTATCGTGCTGCGCGAAATCGACTACTTGAACACTCACGTAACCCTATCGAGACCCTCTTCAAACGAGCTCCAAACGAGCCGGTCTGCTCGACTAATTCGTTACCGGCTGCAATCTCCTTCAACGAACCGTTTCGAGACGCTCGGTCTGTCATGAAATTCTCAGCTGCGACGCTGTTGTTCAGCCCAGCTTTGCTCGCTGGAATCTCGAAACATCGACTTGTCGATGTATCTCGCTGCTGCAAACTGTGGTTATGATTGCAGCGGCTTCGATCGGATCGATTTTGTTACATGGGTTTTTTTAAAAATTCTTGTGTATTGTTGAACTTTTAATTAGTGAAACGGGGTAGTTAGATATGGAACTGATAACGACCTTGTTGATGGTATTTGAATAGATTGGTGAAGTTTTGGACACTTCATTTTTGGAGTTTATACTCCTTGAACCAATGATAAGTTTGATACTCTATGAAATTGTTACTTGTTTCATACTTCGCGAACCTGTTGGTACCTTTTTAATATGTAATATTGAATGAACTTTCGAGTGACTTGATATTCTAGAAAATTCTAAATGCTATTTTGATATTTAACAGTAGATACCCGCTTTCTATATAGGTTACAATATTTTCGTTCACAGTGAAACTAACAAAAACGGCGGAATTGGAGTAAACCAACCAGCACGTTGATTCATAATATTTGCTGATTGTGTATTATCTTTAATCACATAATGCTCATTATAGTCAAACCTTTTGTCGACTCATCGCGAATAGGCTGACAATTGATTTCAAGGCGAAAGTGATTCGTGCGTTACTGCATAACCATGGAACGTAATTTTCTCTTAATTTGACCGTCCACGAGGTGAGCGCGGATGAACGAGGCGCGTATCGCGGCCGGCTTGGAAATCCGTGTAAAATTCAATGACTTCCATCGATAACAAATGATTTTGCAGCAGGTTATTTGTGTTCAGGTGAATGGAAGATCGTGAAACGCTCAATCAAAAATTTTACGTGTGACCAAGCAATCAGCGCGGAATTGAATGAGCGCAATTTCGCGCGAACCGGTTACACGAAGATGGGAAGTACAGGGCGAACGGAACGAATTTAATATTCAAAGGTCTCGTCGCTTTTAATAGTTGATCGCCGAGCAGGAATACTGTAATTTAAGAGTCTTCGAATAGATCGTTGCGCGTTGGGTAAAAGTGAAAAGGGGAAGGGGGAGGATCAGAAGTAACGCGTTTTGAAATATTCAAGGATCTTCGTTTAAACTTTGATTACATCGTTCGACTTCATCGAACTGAAAAGTGATTTCATTTCAACATCGAGTCGTAGGCGGATTCATCAAACGTTGTAGCGTGCTGTTCGCCGTAAAATTTTCGCTCGCCGGCCGAGTAATTCGTCTGATAAAGAAAGTTTAAGTAACCGAGCGAGGAGTTCGAGTGCAATCAGCCGAACCCGATGGCTAGATTTATTATTCGGGGTCAAAGTTTCTTGATTATTCTATCATTAGGGTGTCCGGAGGGGGTGGGAGCACGTAATTACACGTGGGCGCATTTAAACGCGTTTAAAGTTTCGCGAACTAACGAAGACGTTATTAAAAGTTTACTTATCGAACTCGAGTATCGTACGCATAGGACGCTTCCTGCCTACTGAATGTATAATGTACTTTTAGAAAAATAGTAAGTTACTGGAGGTTGAAAGATTGAAAAATTAGAAATATTGAAGTTTTAGTTTTTCATAATAAGATGGAAATTTTCTGAAAATTATAATATCTTTGAATGGTTGTGTGGTAAAATGCGAATCACTTTTTTTCAATGTTACAACCATTTTGATTGTTACTCGAGTCACTATTAGTAATTGAGATGTTTTTCATTTTTATACAGATATCTCAATAGCACTTTTACTTTTGTATTCATGTTTATACTAAGTTCCTAAATCTTTTTATAAATCGTTTCTAAATCGTTCATAATAAGTTTCTCTCAATTTTCTAAATCTATTAAAAAATGTTTATCAAATTTATTAATATTATTAGCTAAATTTACATTTAAATAGAAGATTTCCATTATTTTACTGTTATGAGTTAATCAGTATAAGTAGTAAAATTCACAGGGTCGTAACCCGAAGAATAACAATAACCAAGAAATTCATTAAAAAGTGAAACTTGTGTCACATTATAGCGAGGAACGAAAAAGGCGAACGCCGTCGCGCCACGAATCCTCCGGAATCAAGCATCCCCTATCGCGGGACTTTTTCTCGCGTCGCGGAGCACAACGGGAGAATATTTGCAATTCCAATCTCGCGCAGCACGGCTCTGTATGTATATTTGCGCTTCACTCCTAAAATCTGGACGATAGTTTGCAGTTTCCCCCCAAGATAATTCGATACAACTGGAAATTACACGGCTCGACTCGAGCCGTGGCGGCTGGCGCATGGTTTACCCGCATCGGATCCCCTGTCGACGTGCTCGATCTCAGTAAAGGGGGAGTTCCCGCGACGCGAGGGGTATTTCGTGTGTACACGCGAAAGCGGTAAGGTGCATGGACCGTGTATATGGTGATTATATGTATTCCAAATACATATATACTAACGGCTACTTGGGCAACAACTAGTACGTGCAAGCATGCGACGAGACCACTATCAAGCGTCATGCACTGTCTACCGTGTGGTTATGGAGAAGAAACCAATATCTTACTGTCTAAGACTGGAAAATTTGTTTACTTATTTTCTAAATCGGACTTCGAAACTTGGCAATAAATGGCAACGATATGGCGGCAGGATCTGAAATTTCTTGGATATTTGCTCGTATGAATTCTGATAACAATTTCTCTTGCCGGTGCATGGTCCACAGGTGAAATTGTTATTCTCGGAATGTTGAGATTCTATAATTACTTGTTTCGTATGTGGGTGATCGAACTGTGGATATGGATTCAGTGGGATCTGTAAGCACTTGGAATTTGAACGTAGATTTTAAATTGTACCTTCGTGTCGTATGTTACGTTCTCGACACTTGTCTCGGCGGAACTTTTGTCGATAAACTGTTTCTGGAAAACTTATTGTTGGGTAGTTTGAAGGTAGTAGGTTTGTACGGTTGAACATTAACAACCGTAATGGTGAGCGATTTAAAAGTTCGTGAAAGTCTCGTGATACCTTTAGTCTTATTGTTTATTCTTCTTCTTCATGTATTCGTTTCTTTCAAATTGGGAAATCTTAGCTTTGTATTTCTAAGCGAATTTTGTAGTGCAAACAATGCTGCAGATATATCTGAAAACTTGTATGCGTATTCTTTTGCTTTTTAATTAAGCAAATTCTCCTTGTCTGTGATATTTTAATTTTATATTTATTTATACTTAATGTTCAAATTGTCACAGTACACTGATTAATGCATTTCTTTCTGTTCTTTTTTACTTTCCTTCATCGTCCCCAGTTTTTAAGAAATTTGGTTTCGAAGAAAATATAAAATTACCAACTTTAAGATGATGTGTGT